TGGTGTGGGATGAGAATTTACTTCTTCGAGTTGTCCTCTGAAACCCACACGTGAGCTGTGGTGTGATTATGCACTCACACACATAAATAAAATCAAAATGTTAAGACAAAAAGTAGATGGATAAATAGTAGTGTGCCTAAGGTTAATGTTTTCTGTGACATTTTTGCCACTGTGAGTGTCTTCTTGCTTGTACATGTGTGTACATGTGTCTGTATGAATGTGTGTTTATAGTTTGTATACAAACATGTGCAGATTGGACATAAAGTGTATCTCTTGTACATTCTAATAAATGTTTAAAATTCACTCTTTGGAACTTTTCTCAAGACAAAAATCATCTGGAACACATATTAAAAAAAAAAAAATCTTTGGCTCCATGCCAGACCTGCTTAGTCACACTCTAGGTGATCGAAGAGGACTGAGAAGTCAGCAAATTTAGCAATCACTGCAGGTGATTGTTATCACCTGACAGGTCTGGGAAACACCACCATACAAGAGCCAAGATTCAAGAGTAAATTCAAGAGTAAAGGATCCTCTGCATCCAGGCTCATAAAAAAAAAAAAAAAATCAGCAGCCTTACCAAGAAGCTCTGACATTCTAGTTTTAAATTTAAATTTACACACATTTAAATAATGACAAAGGATCTTGAGCATCTATCAAGAGCTGACTGGGGCCTATTCATTTTTTTTAGCCTGTAGATTTTTCTTCTCTGTAAGTAGAATCACTAATTTTAAAATTGCAAAGTAGCTTATATGTAAATTAGACATCATAGCTTTGCCCAGTTCCCATGGTACATCTTGAGATAGGGGAACTTTTCTGGCTCAGAGGCAGGAAGGTGAATCTCCTTGGGTTTACATCTGCCTAGTCCTGTGCAGCTACCTATTTCATGCTACATGGTATTAATGACACACATTCTTGAACTGTGTTGTGGAATTAGTATGCAACCTAAATTTAGGTTTTTTTTGTTTTGTTTTGTTTTTTTAGCATCTTTTACCTTTTGCTTTTGTCAACACTACAGCAACTGGAGGAAAAAAACACTGCTAACTTTAAGCACAACAGTGTGTCTTTTTGTTTTGTTTGTTTTTGAGACAGGGTGGGTTTCTCTGTGTAGCTCTGCCTGTCCTGGAAATCACTCTGTAGACTAGGCTGGCCTAGAACCCAGAGATCTGCCTCTCAAGTACTGAGATTAAAGGTGTGCACTACCACACCTGTCTCCAAATGTGTCTTTTTTTTCTTTTTTCATTTCTATGTGCATTGGTGATTTGCCTGCATGTATGTCTGTGTGAGGGTGTCAGATCTTGGAGCTACAGACAGTTGTCAACTGCCATGTGGGTGCTAGGGATCGAACCTCCTGGGTCCTCTGAAAGAGCAGTCCATGCTCTTAACTGTTGAGCCATGCCTCCAGCCCCCCAAATGTGTCTTTTAAAGAACTATTTGGATCATAAAATTTAAAAATATAACTTGTGTTACTTATTGATGAGCTCTTGAAAGATTATCTCAGGGTTACTTTCCATCCTCAAAAGTCAGATATGGACCAAAGTTGCTTCATTCTTGCTTGCTGCAACACAATTCTGTGTGTTCATGCTATTTTGTCCCAAATGTGTTTTATATCATTTCAAAAGATGGCTCACCTTGCAACTTTTCAATAGTCAATATTTTTTATTGTTTATAACTCAGGAAGGTCCAGTGAGGCCATTATTTCAAAAGAACTCAAATATCTTCTAATTGAAATAACTATCATTGATTTCTCATGTGGTTTACTGTATTTTTCATGCATAAAGACAAAGTGAAAAAGATCTGCATAAATCAAAATAATTATCCGTCTATTATGTGTTCCTATATGTCTCAGTAATAAGGATGTACAGATATAAATGGAAATTTGTGTGTTTAAGTCTGTCTTAAATTTAAGGTAAAAGACCTGATAAGCTAGAATCAGATGAAAGGGGAAGAGGACCTCCCCTATCAGTGGACTTGGAGAGGGGCAGGGAGGAGATGAGGGAGGGAGGGTGAGATTGGGAGAGAATGAGAGAGGGGGCTACAGCTGGGATACAAAGCAAATATAATGTAATTCATATAAAAATTTTAATAAAAAATTAAGTTAAAACCTCATGAAAATTTTCAGCATAAATATTCAAGAGGTAAGAAGTTAAACACTCATTTGTACCTTTTAATTCTTATACCATGTATTTGTATAAAATTTTTATCATGTACACGTATTATATTCTCAAAACATATTTTTCATTTGCTGGTGTGGCAGGGAAGATTTGTCCTTTTTGTTGGATTGATTGATTTTGTGTGTGGGACCAGGTCTCATCTAACCCATGATAACTTGGCAAAGCTCTAGATTAGCTTTGAATTCCTGTTCCTCCTGCCCACACCTCCCATGAACTAAAATCACAAATGTGCCCAAAATATAAAGTCATAATTTATAAATATATGCAGAGGTCTTAATAAAAGGGAAAAGGGAAGATAATTCAGGAAACTGTTTAGTTTTGTCATTAGGAATTGAGTTGGGAGATTTTTAAAGCTACTAAGAAAAAATAGGGAAAAAGAATAAACAAGACCTTGTCTTCATGGTTATACAATAATTATGGAATATCTAATATCTGGTCAGATTTAAAAGGTCAACCTGTACTTTAATTCCTCCTGAACTCTGAAATAAATATAAACACCAAAATATATTTGCTTCTTTTTCTCTTCTATTTTTTTAAATTGCCTAAAATGTTTAATTCTTTCCTAATTCCACCTTTTATTTAAAGAAATATTTACATTTAGCAAACTGGAGCTTTTTGATAAGTCCTCCCACTTCTCATGCTGACTGGCCTGTCTTTGAAGGCAGCACAGTTCTGAAGAAAACAGAGAAGGAAGCCTAGGCACACCTTCTTGACATGTGAGCACATGGGCATTAGGCCTGTAAACTCTGGATTTGGAATCCACATGGAGAATTTCAAATTCGAGTTCTTCCTTCCATGCAGACATATCCTACTTCCTCAAAACTACAGATAACTTGAGGTTAGAAACCCTGAATAATTATCTCACACCTGCAGCAATAGCATATTAAGCAGCACACTCCTTAACACACTTAGCAAGTAGACGGGAGGATTCTGAAAGGCTTGGCTCTGTGTGTGGGAAGAGGTTCCAGGCTTTCTCAGAAATCTTTCTTGAGATAACCTTTCATTAGTCAGGCTGTTGGTGCCTTTAGTCTATCTTCTTCCCTCCTGCTGGAACTACAGCTCATTTGTTTTTATTCCTCAAAATCCTATGAAGCAACATCTTCGTTACACAATTTTCTTTACGTTTTGGGGGCCTCTCAAATGTTTGCCTAACTTGGTATTTAAATAGATAAGTAAGAGACATTCATTACTCTGCTTTTTAAATCTTCTTTGCTGGAGCAAACAGAAAAAGGTTTTGACAGGAAATATGTTTTCTTGAGTTTTAAGCTCACAGTGTGCTATTTTCATTCAGCACTGGGATTCAGATCCTTCCAGAACTTTCTCACTGGCATGTTTGCAACTGCATCCCAAGTCCTGGCTGCATCCTGTAGCCACCACTTCTCAGCTTCTGCTGGAAGAATCTGATTTGTTTAGATACCTCTTAAGTGGAAACTTGCAATGTTTGTCTTGTCAATTCTCTTTACATTTAACCAAATGATGTCAGTCCTGTGCTTTATTTTAATTAAGCTCTGCCATTGGTTCAGTTTGAGTTGTACAATGAATCTAGTTTGGCACATGCCATTTTGATATTGTGCTGGCTGGTTTTGTGTCAACTTGGAATAGGCTAGAGTCGTCAGAGAGGAAGGAGCCTCAGTTGAGGATATACCTCCATGAGATGCAGCTGTTAGGCATGTTCTCAATTAGTTATCAATGGAGGAGGGCCCAGCCCATGGTGGGTGGCACTATCCTTGGGCTGGTGTTCCTGAGTTCTACAAGAAAGCAGGCTGAAAAAGCCAGAGCAAGCAAGCAAGCCAGTAAGCAGCACCCCTCCGTGGTCTCTGCATCAGTTCCTGCCTTCAGGTTTCTATCCTGCTTGAGTTTCTATCCAGACTTCCTTTGGTGATGAACCACAATGTGGAAGTGTAAGCTGAAAAAAAAAAAAACGCTTTCCTCCAAAACTTATTTTTTGGTCATGGTGTTCTGTTGCAGCAATAGAAACCCTAACGAAGACAGACATTGAAATGAATACCATGCAAAAAGAAAAAAAAAGTTGTGTGATTTCGCATAGCTTGGAAATTTAAGCACCTTTATCTATGTGGTATTGCTATATTGCTAGTCTCAACAGCTTATAATTAGAGTGATACCCAGATCTCTCCACAGAGCACTTTGATATCAAAGAATAGTGCACTTCCATCTTTAAGGGAAATTTCCAGTCTGTTAGCCAAACATCAGCATCATCAGGAAGGGGAGGGGATGATGTACAGGGATGGAATAAAGTGCAGGAATTGCTATCATGCTCAAAGAGACCCATAGACCTTGTTACTTGATTGTGTGAAAAAATAAATAAATGCATATTCAACCCAGTAATGGTACCTTAAACTATGTACTTTGGTAATATTTATATGTGTTTTAAAAATACTAGTGGTCATTCCATAGAATTAAATACAATAAATTATTTGTGCTTATTTCTGGAGATATATTAAGGGGCACTGGATATAGAGGGAATCAGATTATAAAAAGAAATTGCACTTTTCATTTTATGCTTCAATTTGTTTGTCTTTGTACTTACTGCTTTTATTTTTATATTAAAAATATTATTTGATGAAACAAAAAGAACTTTTGTGAGGTAACACTTTGACCATAATTAATACTTTCCCCCCAGTGTTTGAAAGATATAACATGTTTTGAGACAAACTTACCCTTCTTTGTTAGTGATGGTTAAATTGAGGGAGGAAGCATTCCCATACAAGCCTGGAGAACTGGCTCTGGAGGAAGGGGGGGATGTGGGGCTGACCTCATGTCACCTCTCAGTTTCCCTCTAACAGCTTGTCTTGATCTCTTTGCCCCCAGAGGAGATCTGCACCCTCGTCATTGCAGAGACATTTCCTGAAGATGCAGGCATCTTCACCTGCTCAGCCAGGAACGACTATGGATCTGTGACCAGCACTGCCCGGCTTACTGTCACCTCCGGTATGTGGGAATCAAAGACAACTAGGTCCTCCTCCCTAGTTCTTGAGCATTTCCCCAAGACAGCCATCAACTGTCCTAGGAACAGGCCCCATCCCTTAGGAAGGTTCCCAGAGCTACCCTAACAATCTGGGATCTCCTCTTATACAAAAGGCTTTGTGGTAGGCCTGAGCAGTGGAGGCGGAGATGACAAACAAGGTGACTAGCACTCAGTCTCTCATGCGGCCTTTAAAAAAAATTTTTTTTTTTTAATCGTGCAATCACAGTCTCAGAAACAGTGGAGCTGGAAATCTTCATGCTAAGCCAGGATCCCTCACCTCAGCATGTCACCTCTAAATCAGAGGTGCAATTGTGGTCCTCAGCAGTGCATAGGACCCGCAGAAACCTGTCCAGATGTGTCACTATGTAAACCAGGATTGAAACTTCTGAGAAAGGGATGCAAGGAAGTAAAATGTAGGTACTGTGAAGATATTAGAAATCAAATTCCCACATGGCAGCTCACAACTGTCTATCACTCCAATTCCAGAGGATCTAGCACCCTCAGAGACATTTGCAGGCAAAAAAAAAAAAAAAAAAAAAAAAAAATCAATGCACATAAAAATAAATAAATATTTGAAAAAGGATAAATTAAAAAAATCAAATTCCATCTCAGTATTTATTAATGTGAGTAAACAACTCTGATATGAAAATACTACACAATTTAAACCAGTGTACAAAAATACACAGACACAGGAACTCAAAAATACTAGGGGAAAAAACAGTAAGAAGAAATAAATAGATCTGTACTTTTACTTGTATTTTTTGGGTGACAGCTTGTAGTAGCTGCCTCGTCTTTCAATCTGGTCTGACTGAGATTTTAAACTGACCATTTTGAACAAACCTAGCACACACTAAAACACACAGTAGGTCATCAGGAAGTGAGTAGTTTTAGGATTGCCTGGATTTCTAGACAAGCAAGAACTTGGGGGCTAGGTGGCAGCAGAGGCACAAACAAAACAAGCCTGGAACTTGTACATGCTTTTTTTATGTTCATTAAGATAAGTAGGGAAGGGTTTGCCTTACTGGGAAATGGTTGACATGAATGAACGCTGTAAGCGCTGACTGGAAACTACAGTGCTGTAGATGGAATCATGTAACAGGCAGTGTCCCAGCATTCTAGTATAGTTGGCTTGAAGGGTGTCCTATTACGTGATCACAGCAGTCCCCAAACCATAACTAGACTCTGTCAGTTTGAGTGGCAAAACCTGGTAATGTGATATTTCTCATTTTGATCTACTATATGCCAAAGACAATAAAATATTTGGTTTTCTATGTACCTTAATAAGCATTTCTTGGTACATTCCAGGTCTGCTTGGCTGTGAGAAAGGTGAATGATTCAGGAAGGGTATGACCACACAATACTTTCAGTCTATTGACAGTAACATTTTAAACTTTGTTTTCTACTAAGTTATATTTGAAACAACCTTATTTCCTAATCTGACATGAAATTTTCCTATGCACTCACAAGAATTTCACTTGGACCTAGAACTTGCTCATCCCTAGCTGCAAAAGGAAAGGCCACACCAACCCGTCTGAACTTGAGTGCTGTTGGTGAGAATGGGTAGGATTCCGATGGGATTCTTGGTCTGAGAGTGTGAGGATAAAGCATTTAGATTGATACTGTTCGCAATGTCATGTTTGATGACGCCTTATCTTAAGCTTTGAATCCACTTTGTTAATGAACCAGTAGGTAGTTTTTCTGTAGGTGAGCTCAGTTGGGGAATGAGCCATTCAAAAGAAGGCCATGGCGCTGGCCAGGCTCCTGACTCACACGGCAGCAACCTGGCACTTCCTCCCTAGCAACACACGAGGGATTCCTACTGGGTTTTTGAGCGTGAAAACCATTCGTTGAATGGGTAGCATCTTACTGTTTTTCCTCTCTTTCTCCTTTTCTTAGCCAACACGGAGAACTGTAGCTATGACTCAATGGGAGAACTCAGCAACGATCACTTACAACACTTTCCACCTCCTCCCGCGATCTTGGAAACAGGTTCCTGTGAGATGGCATCCCAGAAACCATCTGAAATCCAGCAGGTGAACAGCGCTGACTTAGGACTAAGCATGGCAGCTCTTCAAATGCAATTCAACTCTGCCGAGAGGGAGACCAATGGAGTTCATCCCAGCCATGGAGTTAACGGGCTGATTAATGGCAAAGCTTATGGCGATAAATCTCCTCTAAAACCAGCTGCCCTGCTTTCGCCCACTAAGGAACCACCACCTCTCCTTGCCAAACCCAAACTGTGAGTATTTGTACATGGTTTTATAATACTTTCCATATTCCTGTGCAATTTCCTCTCTGGTTAGAAGAAAACACTTTCTCCTCAACTGGACTGTGTGTCACACAACCCCTTCTGCAGACGAGTTGTCCTTGGCTGCAGTGACCGGGCTGCCAAGTGAGGTCCTTCAAAAATACAAAGGATATTGAAAATAAAGACGGTAACTCTGAAGCATGCTTAAATATGCCCTCTGCTAGAAGCTGTAACTGGTCACAGCTGTGAAAGTATGTGGGGGGCACTGCCTTCCATCTGTGGCAGGATGTAACTGCTCTCCAGGCAGGACGGAGAGCGGAACTCTTGGGAGTCCTCTATTAAACCAAGGGCAGAGTTTTCATCTGGAGGAATTTGTAAAAGCACATATGTGAACAGAAGGAGGAAAATAGAAAGAGTGGAAACCCGGTGGCAAATCCTATTTAGGAAAGGGAAAATAAAGACAGGCTTGTCGGGTGGAGGAGCGTCCATCACAATGCAGCCTCCTTGCCTTTGGAGGTCCATGGAACAGCACATCTCCCCCATTCACATTTGACTTATATTATTTTCTCAGGATGATCAGTCTTGTGTGAGCTGTTTCCACTGGGACTATAGGGCAAGCATTGTCATGAGTGGCACCATTACAAAGTCAGAGAGAGAGAGACAGGAGTAGAACTCAAAGCTTCTCTATCATAGCAGGACATCTCTTAATTGTTCCTTGATGTGGGTCAGTGGCTATGTATCCATTCTCTAGTGGTCCACATTTCCATGAGAACGAAACTGCTCCAGCCAGGAAAGCCTCTGGATTTGCTATGCTGTTTGTTGGTTTTGACTTGGAATAGAAAGGCTTTTCACACCGGGGCTCTTTGTTTCCTTAGTAGTAAATACTTAGGTTCTTCAATCTGTGATCAGCTCACCTGTTAGCAATGTGAGAACTGATTAGAAGCTCGACGCCTTACATTTATGCATCGCTTTATTGTTTGCCAAAGGATTTCATGATCTCAGCCAAACGCAAACCAATTCAAAGAACACCATAACACGTGGGGAGGCGGTTTTATAAAATGAAACTTCTGCCAGGCTTCTGGTTGACTGCAGCAGTCTGCCCATTGCTACCCAGTACCTCATTTTTGCCTTGTTCTGGCTCCTAGGTTTAAGGTGGTAGGTAGAGCTACTGACCAGGTTTATGTATAGCACTCTGAAAGAGCTGCGTTATCACTGAGAAGATGAAATGAGCTTTAGAAAGAAAAGGCATCCATAAAGGAGATTTACATTCTTATACCACCAGCCATAAAATTAATTGCTACTACTGACTTGTTTCATGTTTGCATTTTAATTATGCACTTGTCTGCCTTTACTGAAACAGGGACCACGTCTCTGGGGAAGCACAGATGTGTTTAATGAGTAGGTCTTGACTGTGCTCTTGATCCGGTGAAGTGTTTCTTCTCTAATAGCCATCATAAATTGGGTATAAATCACAGGAGAGTAAACAGGAGGAGCTGTTAACCGGCATTTACAGCTCTTCTTATCTCAGGCATTTCAGCATCTCTTCAGCTTTCAGTCGTATTGCTGTGCTTGTGTGTATGATGGGGTCTTGTCTAAAACAAGGAGGAGGAAGAGGAGGAGGAGGTAGCTATTAAAAGCTTGAGCTGCCTAAGAACAGGTTTCAAAGTGATGACATAATTTGCTTCAATCGTATCTTTTCAGAGGCAAACAGGAAGAAAGGACAATAATCCCAACTTACTATTTGTTTCATTCTATCTTCACACCAGATAAGTCAATTGCTGGGCCTTTACTCCATAAACAATGCCTGGAGATTCAAAAGCAATGTATAGCCACAGTGAAAATGATGGATTCTCTGTATTTTGGGGTGGAAAAATCATCCTTCAAAGCTGTGGTTCTGCCTGGAATCCATAGTAAATTTGTGAATGGCAAACTCGGTAGCTGGTTGGCAGAACATCAAGAAAAGCTTGACTGCGTTTGCTCCTATGTTTACCTCCTGGATTCAACTTAACAATGCAAAAATCACAACATGCTGTTTTCAAGCCCCATCTATTTCTTTCCTTTTCTGTCTTCCTCTTCTTCCTTGTGCACAGGAGGTACAATCTAAACATACACAGCCAGCAAAATAAGAAGTTAAATAAGGTGTTAATGAAGGATGACACTTACACCCAGAAACAAGTGGGTCAGCAGATAAAATTCTTACTTTCCAGAGTAGGGCCAAAAATACACACATGGCCATAAAAGTCAATGCCCTTTTTATAATGAAATGGTTGAAAAAAAATTTTCCATGTTAACTCAGCAGCTCTTTTTGCTCCTGTTCTTCCTACTTGCTCTTCCTCTAGTCTTTAAAGGAAAAAAAAAAATAGATTATTGTTTCCCTTGTTGAAGTAAAAAATGAATTCAGGTTAAACCAGTCTTTTTATATACTTATATTTACTGCCTTTGCTTCTGTCTTTCTCCTTGTATCTATACCCACCCTTATATAACCCACTGTTTTGGAAAATCTTGTCTAAAGGAACGGGAATATCCCTTTTACAGAAAGTATCCTATTTGGCTTTAACTGTCAACTTGACATAGTCTAGATTCATCTGAGAGAGGCATTACCTAGATTAGACTGGCCTATTAGTATGTCTGTGAGGGATTATCTGATTGCTAATTGGTGTAGGAGTGCTTAGCCCACTATGGGTGATACCATTCCCTGTGCAAGTGATCCTGGATATAGAAGAAGGCTAGCTAGCATTAGTCCAAGATAGCCAGCAAGCAGCTTTTTCCATCAGTACTGCTTCATGTTTCTGCTTTAGTTCCAGCCCTGACTTCCCTCAGTGATGAATTGTGACCTGTAAGCAGCTGTTCCTCTCTTGAATTGCTTCTGGTCACAGTGTTTGTCTCAGAAACAGAATGAAGACTATACCATCAAGTTAGCCAGGATTTTAAGGGTGACAAAATAAAGCTATATCTTCAAATAGTCAGTACTGTTTAAAATAAAGAATTGTCTCCTTGCAGCCTATGCAGGTGTTAGAGATGGCGTGTGTGAAAGAAAGACAGAGGGAAATAGTGGCTAACGTCACTCTTTATCAGTGACTTAACTGTACCAGGCTTTTTATATTTGGGAATCTCCTTATGGGTCCCCCACACATTGAAGTACAAGTTGTTCCTTTGTCTGGAATGTTCTATGCTTGGAATTTGATAAAAGCTGACCTCTTCTTGCCTACCATAGCTCAACTTAATGCTTTCCATTTCCCCAGCCATCCAATATAAAGCAGCCCGCCAGCCACTCCTCTTTAATTATTACACAGCATATAATTACTTCTAATGGTTATTTACTTGCCACTGGCTTTGTATATTGATGTTCCTCTGAGAGGGTAGCGACCTTCACTGTCTGTTTTCAGCCTTATGTAGTACATGTTCATTTTTGAATGAATGAAGTAAGATTAAACCAATGAATAAGAGAAAAAACTCCTACTTTTAAAGCCACCTCATTTGTTCTGCTTAATTTTTCTGTAAATATTTCCAGGACTTCTATTTTCAAACCCCATCAGGTCCAGAGTTGTTGACCTTTATAACACATTTCTAATTGATATTGCTTGTCTCTTCACCTGCTAATAACTGAATGGATGTGAAGAATTCAAGAAAAGTCTCATGTGAGAACCTAGAGCTGTCATTTGCTTGGTCTAGTACTTAGCAGCCATGCACAAAGCCCCAAATTCTGTCCACAACAGTAGCATAAAACTGAGCATGAAAATATATGCCTGTGATCCCAGCACTAAGAAGGTGGAGGCAGGAGGATCAGAAGTTCAAGGTCACCTTCACTTACATTGCTAGTTCAAGGCTGGCTTGGGATTGACCTAAGTACAGGAGACCTTATCTCAAACAGTAGAGACAGAGAAATGGCTCAGTGGGTAGAATCCCTCTGTGCAAACCAAAGTTCAGATCTCCAGAACCCATGTAAAGTGCCAGACCTGGTAGGACCTCCTGTGACATCAACACTGGAGAGGGGAATGGAGCCAAGTGGGTCCATGAAACTCATCGGCCAGAACATTTAGCTAAATAATGAGTTTTGGGTTTAATCAAAGACTCTGTCTCAAAAATAAATATGGAGAGCAATCAGGGAAAAACCATCTACCATCAACCTACTTCTCTGGCCACTACACAGATGTGACACATCCATACTAACACATACATCACACACACACACACACACACACACACACACACACACAGAAAGAGAGAGAGAAAGAGAGAGAGAAAATAAGCATAAACACATATTCCACATACTAGAATCACAGTGGAAAAATTCATCCAATTACGTAACTTCTTTCCTCATTTTCGCCAATGCTTCCATTTGCCTTGGTTTAACACACTAGGGAGAAAATGAGCCATCTGAAGAGAGTAGGACAGGTCCAGTCTCTAGCAAACATTTGCAGCATTAGTTGGCCTGGATACAGTCAAACTGCTGTTTCAAGGTGTGTGCACTTGACATGTTAACGCCCCATCAGATTGCAAACTCTGATGAAGGGTTGCCGGCTCCTGTGCTACTCCCTTCCTGTCCTGTTTATGTTGGACCGAAGCTCAAACTCCAATGTGTGGCTTGGGCAGCATAACTTAAAATGCTGAACATTTTCCCACCCTTTAACCGCTTCTAGTTAGGGTTCAAGATCTCATTATATCACTCTTTGACTATAGAATAAAAAGGCTTTCCCAGATTCTGTTTAGCATAAGATTTACCTTGTAGATTCAAAAGCAAAACAAAACATGAAGGCAAGGAGAGGGAAGGGAAGCAAATCAGTGGAGGGAAAAGTGTTGTAAATAGCCAGAGACTTTGTAATCATCAGTCAACAAGCGAAAAGATGCCTAAATGCACACCAATATACTTTAAACCCAGAACACATCATTTCCTTAATATTTTGAGCACCTGCAAAATGCTGGGGAATTCTGGACTCAAAAATGAAAGAAATAAGACTATTGCCTTTGAGTAATCTATAGCTTAGTGATTG